CTAGCCTGTAGAATCCATGAGGGCAAGAAATAATGGCTTGTTTTCTGTTGTTTTCCTAACACCTAGCCATAGTCACTGGACTATATAGGTGCTCAAAGGTGTTTCTTGAAGAAATAATTATTGCCCAAAATTAAGTATCTTGGAAGTTGAATTAATGGTAAATGGCATACATATTTTAGAAACTTTCTATATTTGGCACACAAAGATTAAATATATTTAAGGTATACAATGTGATGCTTTGATGTATGCATATGTTGTGAAGTGATTACACAATTAACATACTTGTCACCTCATATAGTTGCTCTTTTTTTGTGGTGAGAATATTTAAAATCTTCTCTTAGCAATTTCTTTTTTTTTATTATAAAGAATGTGGGGTACAATTCAGGGTTAGGTATATAAACATGGATCATGCAGGTATCCTTGTTGATGAGGTATGCCCCTCCCTCCCCTAACAGTTTCCCTCAACTGCCAATCCCCCCCACCCACAGTTTCTCACTGCTGCCAATCGCTTTATGACAGCATTATAATTGTTCAAGGTCCGTTTATGAGTGAGAACATATGGAATTCTGTTCTTTATTTCTGTGATAAATCACTGAATATGATCGATTTTAATCCATACAAGTTGGTACAAAATCAACATATTTGTCCTTCTTTATGGCTGCATAATATTCCATTGTGTATATGTACCACATTTTTTTAATCCAGCCCAGCTTCGATGGGCAATATGGTTGGTTCCATGTTTTTGCTATTGTGAATAGAGCTGCAACAAACATATGTGTACAGGTATATTTATTGTAGAAATATTTGAGTTCCCAAATATTTGAATTCCCAAAAGGGGAATTGCTGGGTCATATGGAAGGTCAATTTCTAGATCTTTCAGAAATTGCCACACTGTCTTCTGAAGAGGTTGTACTAGTCTGCATTCCCACCAGCAGTGTAGAAGCGTTCCTTTTTCTCCACATCCTCGCCAGCATCTGTTGTTTGTTTTCTTAATGATTGCCATTCTTATGGGGGTTAGGTGGTATCTCAATGTGGTTTTGATTTGCATTTCTCTGATGATGAGTGAGGCCGAGCACTTTTTCATGTATCTGTTGGCTACCCATATATCTTCTTTTGAGAAGTGTCTATTCATGTCTTTGGTTCCCCTTTTAAAGGGGCTGTTTGCTTTTTTCCTTTCAGCGCATTTGAGTTCCTTGGACATCCTATATGTTAGGCCTTTGTCAGATACACAGTTGGCAAACATTTTTTCCCATTCTGTGGGCTGCCTCCCTGCTCTGTTGATGGTTTCTTTTGCTTTGCAGAAGCTCATTAATTTGATGAGGTCCCACTTATCTATCTTATTTCTTAATGTATTGGCCTTTAGGGTTCTGAATAGGAATTGGTTCCCAGTTCCAATTTCCATAAGGGTGTATCCTGCACTTTCTAAGATTCTTATAATTTGAGGTTTTACTTTTAGGTCTTTGATCCATTTAGAGTTAATTTTTGTGTATGGTGATAGGTAGGGGTCTTGTTTCAATCTTCTTTATGTGGCAAGCCAGTTTTCCCAGCACCATTTACTGAATAGGTTATCCTCTCCCTAGTGGTTTTTGTTGGAAACTTTGTCAAAGATGAGTTGGTTGAGGAATTGAGGCTTTGCTTCCAGAATCTCTATACTGTTTCATTGGTCTATGTGCCTGTTCTTGTACCAATACCAGGCTGTTTTGATTACTGTAGCCTTATAGTACAGTTTGAAATATGGAAGTGTACCTCCTGCTGTGTTTCTTTGGCTAAGGATTGTTGTGGCTATTTGTGGTTGCTTATGTTTCCATGTGAATTTCTGTATTTTCATTTACAGATCTGAGAAGAATGATGTTGGTAACTTAATGGGTATTGCGTTGAATCTGTAGATTGCCTTTGGTAGGATGGACATCTTAACAATGTTGATTCTTCCTAACCATGAGTATGGAATATTTTTCCATTTGTTTGTGTCTTCTTGGATTTCTTTGAGCAGTGTTTTGTAATTCTTATTGTAAAGATCTCTCACTTCTCTGGTTAGGAAGATGCCGAGGTATTTCATTTTTTTTGGTGGTTGGGATTGTGCTTTATATTTGGGATTGTGCTTTATATTTGGGTCTCTGCCTGCTTGTTGTTGGTGTATAGGAATGCAACTGTCTTTTGCACATTTATTTTGCACCCTGAGACTTTGCCAAAGTTTATTTTATCAGTGCAAGGCAGGTTTTTGACAGATTCTCTTGGATTTTCAAGGTATAGGATCATATAATCAGCAAAGAGGGATAACTTGACGTCCTCCTTTCCTATTTGGATAACTCTGATTTCCTTCTCTTGTCTAACTGCCTGAGCTAGGACTTCTAACACAATATTGAACAAGAGGGGTGAGAGTGGGCAGTCTTGTTCCAGGTTTCAGGGGAAATGTTTCTAGTTTCTGTCTATTTAGCAATATGTTAGTTGTGGGTTTGTCGTAGATGGTACTTATTATTTTGAGGTATGTTCCTTCTAGACCTAGTTGTTTGAGGGTTTTTATCAAGAAGAGATGCTAGATTTTATCAAAAGCTTTTCCTGCATCTAATGAGATAATCATTAGATTATCTGTGGTTCTTGTTTTTACATCTATTGATGTATTTAATGACATTTATGGTCTTGTGAATGTTGAACCAGCCCTGCATCCTGGGGATGAAACCTATCTGGCCATGGTGAATGACTTTTGAGATGTGTTTTTGGTTCCTATTTGCTAGAATCTTGTTGAGAATTTTTGCATCTATGTTCATAAGAGATATTGACCTGTAGTTCTCTTTCTTTGTTGGGTCTTTACCCTGTTTGGGTATCAGTGTGCTGTTAGCTTCATAAAATGATTTTTGGAGAATTCCATCTTTCTCAATTGCCTGGAATACTTTCAGTAGGATTGGTATCATCTCCTCCTTGTACGTTTTGTAGAATTCTGCTGGAAAGTCATCTGGTCCAGGGCTTTTTTTTGGTAGGTAGTTTTCGTATGACAGAGTCAATTTCCTGGGTTGTTATTGGTCTATTTAGTGTCTCAATGTCTTCTTGTTTCAACCTGGGAGGTTGTGTGATGTCATAAAGTCCTCCATTTCATCTAGGTTATCAAGTTTGTTTTCATATAGGTGTACATAGTAATCTCTGATAATCATAATTATATCTGATAATCCTTTGCATTTCTTTGGGGTCAGTTGTAATTTGATCTTTGGTATTTCTGATTGTGTTATTTAATCTTTTTCTTGGTAATTCTGGCTAGGGACCCATCAATCTTGCTAATTCTTAAGAAGAAACAGCTTTTTGTTTTGTTGATGTTTTCTATAATATTTTTGTCCTCCATGTCCTGTATTTGGGCTCTTATTTTTGTGATTTGGATTCTTCTGCTAAAGTTGAGGTTTTGGTGGTCTTCTCTTTCCAGATCCCTTAGGTTATTTGTTAGGCTATCCACTTGTGATCTTTCCATTTTCTTGATGTCTGCTCATAGTGGTATAAATACCCCTCTTAGAACTGATTTCATGGCATCCCAGAGGTTTTTGTAAGATGTTTCTTCATTTTCATTTGTTTCCAGGAATCTTTCAATTTCTTCTCTGATTTCAGTGCTGATCCATTCATTGTTTAGCATCATGCTGTTTAGTGTCCATGTCTTTGTGGACTTGGGGAAATGGTGTTGTTTTGGTATTTATTTTTATTCCACTGTGGTCTGAGAATGTGCATGGCAAGATTTCAACCTCATGGAACTTGTTTATGCTTCATTATGGCCAAGGATGTGATTGATCATGGAGTATGTTCCATGTGGTGATGAGTAGAATGTATATTCTGTGGTTGTTGAGTGGAATAATCTGTAGGTATCTACTAAGTCCATTTGGTCAAGTGTCAAGTTTAGGTTTTGGATCTCCTTGTTGATTTTTTGCCTCAATGATTTATCTCGGGCTCTTAGTGGGGTACTGAAGTCCCCTGCTATAATAGTGTTAGAGTCAATATCCTTTTTTTAGTTTACTTAGTAGTTACTTTATAAATGCTGGTGCTCCTGTGTTGGGTGAATATATGTTAGGTGCTCCTGTGTTAGGTGAATATATGTTTAGGGTATTTCTTGTTGATGGATTGAACCTTTTATCATCATGTAGTCTTCTTTTGCATCTTTTTAAGTGTTTGATAGCTTAAAGTTTTGTCTGATATTAAGATTGCAACTGCTGCCTTATTTTATGATCCCTTTGCCAGGAAACTCATTTTCCATCTTTTTACTTTGAGTCTGTGTGTGTCCCTTGTAGTGAGATGAGTCTCCTGGATGCAGCAAATAGTGGGGTCATGGTTTCTTATCCAGTCCGCCATTCTGTGTCTTTTCAGTGGTGCATTTAGTCCATTCATATTCAGGTCAATTATTGAAATGTGATTGCTTATCCCTGTCATGAGGTTCTTATAAAGATTTTCTTTGCTTGTTTTCTTTTGGCTTTGGGGTTAATGTATGCATGTGCTTTCAAGTTTCTTCTTGTGCTGTATTCTCTGTTGATTCTGTGCTCTACTGTTCTCTTGGGAAGTGTGTGGTGATCCTTTTTTTTTCTTTCTTCTGTACTTAGTACCTTTTTAAGTGTCTTCTGTAGAGTTGGTCTGGAAGCTGCATTATCTCTTATGGATTGAATGTCTGGGAATCATTTTAATTCTCCATCACTGATGAAGCTGAGCTTGGCTGGACAGGAAATTCTTGGTTGAAATTGTTTATCAACACCTGGGCAGCTCCCGAGTGGTGAGCAGGGCAGAGCTGCCAGCACTGAGTCGGAAATGGGAGGCTCGCAGCACCCAGCCTGGAGAAAGGTGATGGTCCAGTGCTGCTGCCTCTCATCACGCTGATGACAAGGGCAGAGAGAGAATAAACTGGGTGGAGTGAGAATAGACCAGTCCAGAGAAGAAATGTGCTGGGAATGCCACTGTTGGAACAAGTGACCTGTTTGGCAAGGAATACAGCATCCTTCTGAGAGCTTTTGCTCAACAGCATCCCCTGGACCATGACATCCTCATGGGAAAGGGCACTTAGGATCTTGCTCTCAGCCACCCAACACTTTTGCTGGGTCAAAATAAGACTTATGTTGCAGAACAGAACAAGATATACTTTCATTTCATTTTTGCATCTGTTAATCTTCCTGCCTGCAGTCTTAGTCATTTAGCCCTGAGAGTTTTAAGCCACATTTATTGCCATTATTTTTGCATTCATTTTTCAAAATGATTGACTTAAGCTTCCTGACCAAGGAGGAACAAGAGGCCATCATGAAGTTTCTGGAGCGGGATGCAGCCCTGAAGAGGGCTGAAGAGGAGAGAGTCAGATATTTGCCTAAAAAAATTAAGGATGACCAGCAACTGAAGAACATGAGTGGCCAATGGTTTTATGAAGCCAAGACAAAAAGGCACAGAGACAAAATTCATGGTGCAGATATCATCAGAGCATCTATGAGGAAGAAGAGGCTTCAGGTAGCAGCTGAGCAGAGTAAGGAAAGAGCAGATGGGGCAAAGGAAAGCTGGGTGAATAATGTCAGCAAAGATGCTTTCCTTCCCCCAGAGCTAGCTGGTGTTGTAGAAGAGCCAGAAGAAGATGCAGCACCAGCAATACCAAGTTCCAGTATGGTAAGTCCAGCTTCTACTGCGATTGATATGTCCCAAGAAAACACAAGGAAACCAACTGTGTCTCCAGCTAAGCAAAGGAGGAATCTGTTTAATAACTCCAAGTTGGCAGAAGATCACTCATCACAACAAACCAAAAATGAACAGTCAAAAAATGGAAGAGCTGGTTTATTTCAGACTTCAAAAGAGGGTCAATTGTCAGAATCAAAAGAAAAGTCACCATTCCAAGATATTTCAAGTCAAAAGTTAGAGAAATCAAAGCAGACTTTTCCAGCCCCTTTGAATGAATCCCAAATCAAGGCTCCAATCCCCAAACACAGGAACATTATCTACAAATCAGATTGTTTAAACCAAGATGATAACCAGTGTTTTCCTAGAGAAAGGACAGACTCCTTGAATACAAGAGGGGCTTTGAGAGGGATCCTTAAGCGTAACTCAAGTTCCAACAGCACAGACTCAGAAATTCTTCGTTTTAATCACAGCTTTGAATCCAAAAGCAAAACTGTGTCACCAGGCCTAACCATACATGAGAGAATTTCCGAGACGGAACATTCTTTAGAAGATGATTGTTCCCCAAACTCCCTGGAACCATTAAAGCATGTGAGATTCTCTACCGTGATGGATGAACTTCCACAAAGTCCTGGGCTAATCCAAGGCCAGGAAGTGGAGGAATTTAGTGTTTTAGAATCTGACAGGTTGAAGAATGGAACAGAAGATGCAGGGGACACAGATGAGTTTCAGAGTGACCCTAAGCCTTCCCAATACAGAATGCCTTGGCCTTTTCATTAGTTAGCCGCAAGCCCAAATGGATCAAAAAATGAAACACATCAGCCAATGACTTCTGGTTCTTTTCCAGTTAATGGGCTCCATTCTCACTCAGAAATTTTAACTGCAAGACCACAGTCCATTGAGAATTCCCTTACCACCAATGACCAGAAAGTTTAACCAGAAAGAATTAAAAAGGCTTGAATCAGAATTGCCCAAAACCTCCGCTGATGAACTGTCTCATGTTAAGCCTGAGCCAGCTCAGGTGCCAGACTGCAGTTCTAGAGACCATCAGCAAGGTTCAGAAGAAGAACCCAATCCTGTTTTGAAAACTTTGGAAAGGAGTGCTGTTAGGAAAATACCTTCCAAAAGTCTAGAAAACATATCATAATTATTACGTAGTGCTGAAGATGATCAAAAAGCAGATCAGGAATCAGATACAAATGAATGCATACCAAGAATTTCCACAGTGTCTGCACCACCTGATAATCAGTTTTCTCACCTTGGCAAACTCAAAAGGATGAACAAGTCTGTTCCAGCATTTCTACAAGATGAGAGTGATGACAGAGAAACAGATACAGCATCAGAAAGCAGTTACCAGCTCAGCAGACACAAGAAGAGCCCGAGCTCTTTAACCAATCTTAGCAGCTCCTCTGGCATGACGTCCTTATCTTCTGTGAGTGGCAGTGTGATGAGTGTTTAGAGTGGAGACTTCGGCAATCTGGAAGTTAAAGGAAAGATTCTGTTTGCAGTAGAATATGTGGAGTCATTAAAGGAGTTGCATATTTTTGTGACCCAGTATAAGGACTTAGCAGCCGCAGATGTTAAAAAACAGTACTCAGACTCATATGTCAAGACCTATTTGTTACCAGACAAAGGCAAAAGGCACAAGAAGGAAACATCTGTAGTGAAGACAACCTTGAATCCTGTGTACAACGAGATACGGCGGTATAAAATTGAAAAGCAAAACTTAAAGACACAGAAACTGAATGTATCTGTTTGGCATCGAGATCCATTTCAGCGCAATAGTTTCCTAGGGGAGGTGGAACTTGACTTGGAAACATGGTACTGGGACAACAAACAGAATAAACAATTGAGGTGGTACCCTTTGAAGCAGAAGGCAGTACCAGTTGCCCTTGAAGCAGAAAACAGAGGTGAAATGAAGCTAGCTCTCCAGTACATTCCAGAGCCAATCCCTGGTAAAAAGCTTCCTACAATCGGAGAAGCGCACATCTGGGTGAAGGAATGCCTTGATCTACCACTGCTGAGGGGAAACCATCTAAATTCTTTTGTTAAATGTACCATTCTTCCAGATACAAGTAGGAAAAGCCGCCAGAAGACGAGAGCTGTAGAGAAGACCACCAACCCTATCTTCAATCACACAATGGTGTGCGATGGGTTTAGGCCTGAACATCTGTCAGAAGCCTGTATAGAGCTTACTGTCTGGGACCATTACAAACTAACCAACAAGTTTTTGGGAGGTCTTCGGATTGGCTTTGGAACAGGTAAAAGCTATGGGACTGAAGCGGATTGGATGGACCCTACCTCGGAGGAAGTTGCTCTCTGGGAAAAGATGGTAAATTCCCCCGATAGCTGGATTGAAGCGATACTGCCTCCAAATGCTTGTGATTGCCAAGATTGCCAAATGAGCCCAAAGTCCACTGGCTCCTCTACCGAAAACTACTAAACAGCTGGAATCTGATCTTGAAAACCTGATCACATGGACAAAGACCCTCAATTTCTATATGTTGCAACTAAAGAATACTATACAGCACGTAAAAGTCAATCTGCATGTGCTTCTTTGATTACGAGGTCCAAGGCATTTAAATAATGACAAAATGTGTGACTTACTTATGACTCTAACATTAAAGAAGATATCTGTGCAGGCTAGAAAAATGGAACTGCTGCTGCCGCTTCAACGAAAAAGATGTCTCAAAATATTAAACATGGGGTAGTGTTAAAGAGTAAAGTGTTCCAGTTTGTCATGATGTGTTTCACACCACAATCCTGTGCTACAGTTAAGAGGGTCCGTCACTTGAGCCTTGCAGGACTTGTAAATAATGTAGGTTGTGGGAAAAGTAACAGAAAGATATTCTGAAGGGGGAAAGGAGCATTGAGGCAGAACATCAGTGATGATACATAATTGGACCATAAAAAAACTATTTGCTCTGTGATCTCTACTAAAATGTGGAATTTCGTGTTAGGGTAATGAGACAGAACTTACTAGTGTTTTCCTGCCATGAGAAACTGCTTTCTCTTTTCCCAAGTGTTGACATGAAGGCCTCAAATGTACTTTGGTGCCACCCACTGTCCATAGGTGGAATTTAGTCCTTGGTTTGTTTTGACATTCTGCTGTTAATAAAATAGGTCTCAAACCTGTACTTTGTAAGAGTATGTATTAAAAAAACTTGTGTATATATGATTGTTTTTCTTATAAATTTACTATATGAACAAATATATGAAAGCAGCATAAGAGTAGTCATAAACATATTTTGCAACAAAGCTTTAATTAGAATGTAAGTTGTTCAATTATATGTACTTCCCATGTATGTATAATTTTCATAAAGTATTTTGTAAAAACTCTTAGAATACATTATAATCTGATTAAAATTGCATTGAAAAATTAAAGAAAAAAGAAATTGTTTATCTTTGAGGATTTTCAACATAGGGTTCCAGTCCCTTCTTGCTTGTAGTGTTTCTGCTGTTAGATCTGCTACTATTCTGATTTTTTTCCCTAGTAGGTAGTCTGACCTTTCTCTCTTGCTGCCGTTAGGAGTTTTTCTTTTGTGCCTACTTTATGTAGGTGAATTACTATGTGTCTAGGAGTTGGTCTTCTCATTTGATGTATTGTGGGGTGTTCTCTATATCTCTTGTGCTTGGCTGGTCACATCTCTGATGAGATGGGGAAAGCTTTCTTGGATTACCTCCTGGAATATATGTTCCAAGTTGTTCTCATTTTCCCTTTCTTCTTCTGAGATTTCAATCAGGTGTAGGTTCAGCCTCTTGATATAATCACACATCTCTTATAGGCTTTGTTCTTTCTTTCTGAGTCTTCTTTCTATGTTTTTTACAGATCAGGTTAATTCCATGTTCTGGTCTTCAAGTTTTGAGAGTCTTCCTTCAGCTAGACTAATTCTGCTTTCCATGCTTGTCATCTTGTTATTTATTTCCTGGATGCATTTTTTTTTTAATTAATCAGTATTTTTTATTATGGTTTTGTGGGGTACAGTTAAGGGTTAGGTGTACAATTATGTTTCATTCAGGCACCCTGTTGATAAGAGGTGTTTTCCCATCCCCAGACAGATATTTTCTACTGTTAATACCATCTCCCTCCCCCCTCATAGTTTCCCAGTACCGTCAGTCATTTTCTTATAGTATTGCATTGGATGTTCAAGGTCCATTATATGAGTGAGAACATGTGATATTCAGATCTTTGTTTCTGTGAAAGGTCACTCAGTATTATAGACTCTAGTTCCCTGGATGAAATTTTTTATTGCTAGAATCTCTGTTATAAGTTCTTTAAATGTTGCAGCTTGTCTTTCTTGAGTCGCATTCACTCTTTCCAACCACTCCCTGATTCCTGTCGTATTCTGGAGCCAGTTGTTGGTGACTTCCATTGTTTGGGCACTAAGGTCAGATTTCTGAGGAGTTTTGTCTTTGGTAGACTTGGAATTGTCTGAGGTCTTCCTTTGACTTTTCCTCATTCTTGACAGATATCTTGTTTTTTTTCTTTAGTTCTATTATTCAGTGTCAGTGGAAGAGGCTTTCCCTTCTGATGTTTGCTCAGTCCTCTATTCTTCCCTGATCTGGTCTCTGTATTTGTTCTATTTTGAAATAGGATGGTGGATGGGAAGCTTTGCTGTCTCTTGTAGTTTTTGAAATCTGAGTAAAGTGGGGGATGGGGTGCTAGGAGTCAGATGCTATTTGCAAATTAAAATGTTCACTTATTGTGGTATGTTTTCCCTGAGATCCACTTCCCACCACTATGATGATGCAAAGCAGAAACCAACCTACACTACAAAGCAATCTGCAGTAACAACAAAGCAAGACAAAATAAACCACCACAACAGAAGAACCCCAAGAAAACTAAAACAGAAGAACCCCAAGAAAACACACTTGACTAGTACAAAGTGAATAGAGAAGAAAGACAGAAAGACTGAAGGGGGGAGAATAAGAAAAAAGAAAAAAGAGAGAGAGGAAAAAAAGGGAGGATTCAGGTGGAACCCTCACACATATATTGACACACCCCTTAAATCATAAAAAAATGAATATTAAGAAACCCCAGAAGAACAAAGGAGCAAAAACCAACAATAAAATCAAAAGATGAACACTCAATCATTTACATACATACATAAACAGAGAATGACAAATAAAAGCAGAAAGAAATGGAGAAAGAAAAGAAAAAAAATTTTTTGAAGGGGATGCAGGTCAAAGCCTCACATACACCTTCATGCACAAAGGAGAAATATTTTAAAAATAGATGAACTAAAACCAGAAAAATTTTAAAATTAAAAAATAGTTGAAAAATTAAAAAAAACAAAACAAAAAACAAAAACAAAGACAAAAAAAACCTGTCCTCTTGTGTCAGGTTCTGTAATTGTTCCTCTAATCCTGTCTCTCCTGCAGAGCCACATTTTTCACTCTCTCCTCAGGGTCCAAAGCAGGGAAGGAGGAGGGGCAGTGCAGGTGGGTGGGGCTGCAGTCCTCCCCTCCCAGTCTCCTATGGTCAGGGAGATCTCTGTTGGGGATGTACAGGATAGTCTCTTCCCCAGGTGTGTATTCTCAAGAGGTTGCCCCAGCCAGGCCTATCCTGGAATGGGGTTCTCCTACTGCGACTGATGTCCAGACTCCGTCTGGGTTTGTCCCTCTCAGTCGTGGCCCAGAGTGTGGGTCTGACATTCAGAGGATTGCTGGGGAGGAGGGGGTTTGGGTCAGCTCTGGACTCACCATTGATCTGTTAGAGTTCTTCCTCGTCCTTTTCTGGCCACAGCCTTTGTCCTACAGCTGGATCAGGGTAGTGGGTAGGGTACCTGGAACTCAGCACTCGTCATGTCCCTCTGAAGTTTGTGTTCTCAGGATATTTCCTCTGGACCACGATGCAGCCCTGAATAGTTGACCTGCCATTCACAGCTCGGCTCCATCTGCAGCCCCTTCCAGCGCCTTGCTAGGTCTCTCTCCTACTTCAATGGTAATTACGGAAGTGCCTGGGGCAATACTTTGTCTCTGTCGCTTAGGCAACAAGTTGGAGACTGGAAGGGGGAGCTGGATGGAGTAATGCAAATCTCTGCCTGGAAAATGGCTGCAGTGGGCGGCTCCTCACCAGGCATGTATTCCTCTCTCTGGATTGCCCTGATGATCTCTCTCCAATAATCAAATCCTGCGCTCCAGCGGTCTGGTATGCCAGGTGATGGTGTGCATTGGGTGCCAGGTGCTTGGAATCAGATGGATTCAGCAGGCTTTTCTCAGGCACGTTCCCACAGGCAGCAGAAGTTTCTGCTGCAATCCTGGGAGCTGTGTTCTAATTTCAGGGCGGTGGGGGCTTGCAGTCGCCCTCAGAGGGAAGGCCCGGGGGCATGCAGCCGAGTATCCCCTCAGATGGACTTTCTTGCTCCCACCAGCGCCCGCCTACTCAAGCGGGAGAGTCTTGATGGTCATTTGCCTCCATGGAAATTTTTACAGCCCAATCTGTCGGCTGTCATCTTAAGCTCCACTGCCTCTTAGCAATTTCAAGCATAGCATACATTATTACTAACCGTAGTTGGTATGTACATTAAATATCCAAAATTTAGAAACTTTTGAAATGTACTTTCAAATTATCTAAAATAAATGTAATATCAATTAAAACTCTAGTCAGTAACATAGAAGACCATCTAATATTATCTCACGTATTTTTTGGGTATCATCTTTGAAATAAGTTTTTGCTAGTTTTACATTGGAATTATTTTAATTTTCATCTTTGAAGTGAATTGAATCTTTTTTATATATTTATTTTTCTGCTGTAAGTTTTCTCTTCCTGTCCTTTGTTAATTTTTCTATCGTGTTGTTATTTTTATAATGATTTTGGATATTAAGTATAACTATGTGATATTTTGTACTTACTTTTTCTCGTTTTTCACTGCATTTTATCTTTAATAAGCAGAGATTTTATAATTTTAAGGCTTCTGTCCTCATCCTTACAGTGAAATTGCTCCCACTAAAATTAGTAATAATTTTAGTTGAAAATTTCATAAAACTTAATTGTTATATGAGATGAGCATTTCCAAGCTTTGTCTTACTTGACCTACTCAGTTAAAAACAAAGGAATATGGATCACAGTTTAAATATTAGGCCTAAATTAATTTGAGGCGTCTTTGGCATCACTAAATTATAGCTTTCAAAATCATTAGAATTATCAGTAAATTTAAGTGCTACTCAAAACTCAGCAAATTTGTTTTTGTTAAACTTAAATACAAATTATCAGGTGGAGGCCTTTCAGCAAATCTCTCTGGTTTTATGATTATTGAAATAGGTCAAATATGGCATGAAACTAAATTAATAGCCTGAATTAGAAGTAAACTAACCCCAGAGACTGAGAAAGAGTGAGAAGTAGAGCATGCCAGGCAGGAGTCAGAAACATGAGGCTACAAAAGGATGTTTTAATAGTTTCCTA